TACCTGCCCGGGCATTTCAACTCGATAAACAGGCAAGCTTTGAAGCTGAAATTTTTTCAATGGGTACCCCGGTCAGGCGCTATCTCCCGAACAACGTGGCACTAGTTTTCACGTACAGCTGAGCCCCACTGCGAGCACGTGAATGTTTTGACGGGAAAATTGCTATCTCGGGAGTCCAGGTGGGCTAGGAACCTAAAATTTCACTGGAATGCTTCCTGTGTATATGCGATTTAAAGATTTAAAATTCAGTTCCTGAGAATGCTCGGTCCTCGCTTGCGGAGACGAAAAATTTTTGGCTGGAAAACTGCTAACTTGAAGACAAGAACATATTTTCACCAAGGGAGCAGTCACTGGAAATTATTCATTTTCCCTCATTCTTCATTTTCTTTGTTTATTTTCATACATATTTTCCTAGGATTTACAGTAATGAATGTACAAGTTAAATGTAAAGCAACAACCATTCGTACAGTTAACGAGCTGATTGCTTCAAGTTTAGCACGAAAGCGCATAACTGCACCGGCAGGCCTGAAGCATCGCAACCTAGATTATTCACTTCTTTCTGATCATCGTTCAAGTCTCTCCGTGCGCATAACACATAAACACACACATGCATCTCTGTGACCCAATCTTTCATTACATTTATGAATGAATAATTGCGCAAATTTTTTCGCCGTTGTTAGTAATTATTTAAATTTCTTTCGTCGTATTTGAAAGCGTGTACGAGGGGGATGATCGATATGTGCTGTGGCGAGCCGGCGAGAGAGTGTTCTTTCGCTATCTGCTCTACCATGAACCAGGAAACCATCCAGAGTCGTGCACAGCGCTCACTGGTCTATCGGAGCTCAGCTCTGCTGAACATACCAGGGTGTCGCGATCATGCGTTTTTTGCAATCCTAGGTGTTTTCCTAGGTAATTTTTGGAGGCCCGGCGGAAGCTGGGCACATATTATTTGTTCTACAATGAAACCTTATTATTGGGCACGAACCGTTTTGTGGTTTGTGTGAGGTTTCCTCGCGTTAAGACTTAAATCATGTCTGCTACGCACATCTGTCATAGGTGGTCCAGCTTGACAACATCCAGGTTGCCCGCCTGTGTTTATCCCGGTGTGTGTGTGTTTTCTTTTCTTCCCTCTCCTTCGAGAAATTGAAGTATTAGTTATTATACATGTGTAATAACTAGTACTTGTGTATTAATTAGATGTACAATAATTAAAATGTGCATGAAATTATATTGGAAAATTTAAAGGAATGTTTTGACCAGTTAAGTCGTAGACATCCCTGTTCAGCAACAGGACTGATGTTCAGCAACAGGACTGAATCTCGTCAGTGGAAGAAAATAAACAAAAGAAACATGAAAATAAACAAAATAAAGAGGAAAAATTTGAAAAAAAAAAGATGCTTTACAATTTTAAGGGAGGTGAAAAGGAATAAATTTTGCAAAGTAATAAAGTAAGGTTTGAAAAGGAAGGAGCAGGAAATGAAAATAATTGTTTTCATTAAAAAATAAAATTTTAAAACAAAACTAAATGGCAGCTTTTAGGCTCGCGCATTCAATGAGACACCGATAAATGCGCGAAAATGTAGTGTTATACTGAGCAAGCTGCTCTACCTGCGTCAGCAGGGTGAAGTGATCGGACGTAACGAAGCAACCGAGGCATTTTTTGCGGTCACAAAATTGTGGCAAAGCAAAGATGCCAATCTTCGCCGCCTGGTTTATCTTGCAATCAAGGAGCTCTGTGATATTTCCAATGATGTTATCATTGTCACAAGCAGGTGAGTGCATTTGTTCAGTGTATCTGGCACACAAAAACTAGCAGATTTTGCACATCCTACTACTGAAATATTTATTTTACGTGATTATTCACCAGACAGCACCTAACTAACACGTCATGGTATAATGGTACATTTTACTAAAATTTAAAAAAAAAACAATATCAAGTTGAAATTAAACTACTAAGCGTGAATGTTTCGGTCCTTGAAGTCGTATACATTCCTGTTGGGCACCGCAATTGGGCCTCTGATTAGACCAAAATACGTTAAGAAAAACAGCCTATCCCCGCGTATATTCAGTATGTTGTAATGCTTATATGCTATGTAAATATGTTTTGTCGCCTTTGTTTTGTCTGTTTTGTCCGTTTAACTCTTTTTCACTTTTGGACGTTTTTACGAGTTTGATTAATATAAAAATGCATTATGACAGACTTGAGTTGTTGACTACGTGAGTCTGTTTGATTCGATTTCAAAAACGCAGAAGTCAGGAAGTTCGATTTTTGGGAACATCCTCAACTTCCTGAAGCGCGTAGCGTTATGCAGAAAATTAACTTTTACTTCCTATGTCTTGACCTATGAATTCAGATCGAAATTTAAAATAATTTGATACTGGTGAGCGTGGGAAAGCTGCGAACTGTAAATTTAATTAAACAAATGGCATGAAATCAGAACAAATAATTCACTGCACCTTACTGCCACATGTTCATATTCAAGCTAAATTTTATAACCGAAAGACCAAGAAAGGCCAGTTTTAAGGAATTTTATGGAGTTAATACATGGACAAGTTGTGGAATATGCGCGTTGATGGGTAGTTTTGTTCTTCACGCATTTTATGGCATTAATGAACAAGCTACGTTTCAATAATTTGGATAGCTGTACAGTGAAAATTTAAGTGGCGTTGATGCTCTTGATAAATTGTTTTCTGAATTTTACACAGTCAGTTCTTTTAATGGTGCTCTTGCAGCTTGACAAAAGATATGACGGGACGAGAAGATGTCTATCGGGCTCCATCAATCCGGGCTTTATGCTGTGTAATTGACGGAAGCATGTTGCAAGCCATCGAACGCTACATGAAACAGGTAACTCATGCCATGTTTCGCCTTTTTATGCAATAATAGAATAGGAAATAATTTGGACTAAGTGTCACAGGCAAGAAGACGTGTTTGGATGCAATCTGTGTTTCATCCCTCAGCTGT